TGATAACCATCAAGACGCCTGTCATTTGATATAAATAAGTTTCAAATGCTTCCCCTGCATTATCACGAGTTCTACGGAGAGCAATAATGAAATGCTTCATTGAAAATCACCAAATCGCATTGAATTAATTCCAAGCACAATTATTTTTAAAAAAAAGATTTTGACAAAAATTATCATAGGCACTAGTGTCACAGGAATGTTATCTCAACAAAGCTACAACAACTTGATCACAGAATAGCTTAAGGCACAGAACACGAGACAGTGTTTCGCATCTACCTGGAACAAGAAAAAAAAAGAGAAAAACAGTCAATAAACACCTCACCACTTGAAAACTACTCAATTCAACAAGGAGGCACTTACAATGTGACTCGCACCACTTTCCAATTACTGCTCAACTTTTTCAAAAAGTGCATCCCATCGATCACGATCGTACAGCTCTGCAATCATCGCTGTATTCAAGGTAACAGCCACGTTTGCCTTATAAGCAGCTAGTCTATCAGGATGCCAGTGTTTGATAATATTTGCATTATTTTGCTGAAAGGCACTTTCATTTCGCAGAGTACCGTGAAGTTCAATTCCAATGAAAAATATTCCTCCGCTGGCGCGAAGTGAAGAGGACCTTCTGGTTCTGTTTCCACGCCTACCTGTATCACGAACCTGAAAAATAAATTTAACTCTAAATGGAGCATAGAGTTGTGGGACACGTTATCGCTCTGTGCGTCATCGAATGCCTGCACGCCAGGATTGGGAGGTGCGGCCGTACAACTCTGTGTGCAGCGACCGTACAAACAGTGACCAATCAGTAGCCTCCGTTTGTTTAACCTGATCATGATTAAGCTCCCTGCGTGTACACTTTGCTCACAAGATACTTGCTGGATAAACGTGTTCCATGCAATACGTCTGCTTCTTCTGTAGCTGGACAGTAGCTTGGCTAGTTCTGGGAGTCTAGCTAGATGTTGGAGAGTCTGCCACAGATATAAACGCGCTCCGTGCTACACGTCTGTTTTCTTTATAGCTGAGCTATAGCTTAGCTGTTCTCTAGCTAGAGGTTGGAGAATCTGCCATAGAGATTTCTGATTCCTAGCTAGATGTTGGAGAATCTGCCATAGAAATTTCTGAGCCGGTAGCTAGATGTTTGAGAATCTGCCATGGAGATTTCTGAGTCGGTCTAGATGTAGGAGAATCTGCCAAAGAGATTTCTGAGTCAGGAGAGTCTGCCACAGAGATTTCTGAGTCAGTCAGGCTTTATTAGCGTAGCAATCCGCTACAGAGTGTTCAGATTGTTATAAATCTTAATACTATGTGTAGATTAAATGAAAATTGGTTAATAAAAAGAGCATTATGATAATTCAATTGTGTTCATTATATTTTAATAATCCGAAAAATTCTCGAAATGCAGTTTTAAGGAAATTATTCTAAATAGTTTATCTTGAAAGTGGTGTAGGTGGTTATTTCAATTTTGAAAGGAAAGCACCGTTCATTATGCCAAATGCGTTCAAGAGCCAATATGAATGAATATATCTCAACTGAAACAAGCCATTTAATTTTCATCACATAGTATTATCGTTCATTGATCTATGTGTCTTATCACACCAACCGCATGTTTTTGTGTGTGTGTGTGTGTGTGTGTATTAACTAATAAAGAATACACTACACTACTTGAACATAAGATGTGCAGGTACAGTTGAATAAAATCTCGCATTCACACGAATTAGAATTACAAAATAGGAAAATGTCTCGCCTGTGCTAAAATAAATAGAAACTGAAAGCGAGACTAATCTGATTTGCAGTTGTAGCATTCAAACAAATAGCTTTTTCTAAGTTCTCAAGCATTCGACACAAAATCGATATCCATCAATCAATGTATGCTACTGCAGACGATATTTACAAAATATTGTCTACTGAACACTTACTGAAATTGTCCAACTTCCGTAACTGCTTTCACCAGTGTGCATCACACTTTTCCAGATCATCTCCGACTTTCCCTTAAAGTGATCTTTAATTCGAGGATAGAGCAAATATGCTTTCTGGCCACTTGGAGACGTGAGTTTGACCTCTAAAGATCCTCGATGTTCAGAAAGCCATTGCATTCCAACTCGCACCACTTCAATTACCTCCACATCGCAATTGTCAGGAGTGAATGAGAAGGTGAAACGCGCCGTTTTATGAGGATACAACTTTAGAAGGCTGAATTTGATTAAAGTAAGACAATCAGTATTCCGAATGGGAAAAAATTAAAATATTAAGAAGTGAAATCTTACGACCGTCTCCATAGCAAGCTATTTCGTGAGCCAGTCCACCCTCCTTTGTACTTAATGCACATTCTTCTTGGTCCTAAAGGAATCCACGTTTTTGCCAAGTTAATCACCCGAACTGTATTCAGAAGACCACTTCCATATATATGGCTTACCTAGAAAATGCGGCACCTCAAAAGTTGCGTTTAAGTGGTTAATAATTTGTAGATTATGGTTATAAAGAAAATCCAACCAACCAAATAACCACCTCCATTGATATAAATGCCTGTTGCGCTGGCTGTAGGGATTCGTCCACTTAGAGCAATAATAGCGCTCACGTCTCGAGGTTGGAGATTCGGGCTAAAGTATGCAATATACTACTTTTATTTATCAGTAGAAAAGATGTAAAGTACATAGACTTATTAGCCAATCCAATACGTGCATAATGACTAAATAAAGGATATTTGAATTTAATTAAGATAGTCTGTCGAAGGAATCAATTAGGGGATTGGAATCTGGGTTTTGATACGAAAATGATAATAATTTAATTGTTATAATAGTTTTTTTACTTGAAATTCAAACCAACTGCGAGGTAGCTATCAATTCCTTCTCAGGAGTGAGTAAAAACCAGTTGGAAACTTTCAAAGGGACAGAGCTGGTAAATAAATATTCCTTATACTTAAGCATATATATCTTAAATTTCATAGGCTGACCAGGTTATTTTGGACGTATTTGCTAGTAAAGTTAATAAAGTCATCGTATAAAACACAATCGGTGTTATTGTCTTCATGCAAATCCTCGACCCAACACTTCTCACAGATAACTTTATTTAAATCATTGTATTATCGATACCTCCAAAAATTACCGATTTGGTGGTCACAAACTTTCATATTCTAAATAGGGAAGATTGATGCATAGTAATCCTTACCTCCACGTGGAGCTCCCTGGCCAAAGTATACTCATGCAGTAAAAAGGTCCATAAATGGGCAGTTGACTTCTCAATTCAAACTACCATGACCCGAATGTATGTCATTTTCCACCACTTTCACGGTGCTCACCTCATCTTACCACTTTCTCTATCTATTAAATCTGTGAATCACTCTTCTGCTTCCCTACCTACCCCTCGACTTTTTGTGAATTCGATATTTCTCCCCTCTATGAAGACAGAAGTTAATAAATATCGCGATAAAGTTTGCAACAAATTAGAGGTGAAGCCCTGACGCATTATTTAAATAGGTTTTCTTGAAGTGAAACTTTTCGAAAATAAAATGATAGTTTCAAACATACTTTGCTTCCATAGCCAACGCAACAATACCGGCCGCCATTGGATTAGATGCTGAGGTTCCAACGAAACTCGTTGTACACATATTGTTAATTTTTGTCGTTGGCTGAGTGTCCAAAAAAAATAAAATGGCATAATATATATTTAAAATTTTTAAATATAAAATATTTATTATTTCATGTTCATGTAAAATTGAGCAGGATTATAATAACCTATCAATTAAAATTTGTGCAATCTTTTGTCCAAGTTAACTTCTATGAACGTTCGGTCACTAATTATGACAAATGATGTAAATCTTTAAAAAATTGAGAAAATTTTTGGAATTCAAATACAATAATACCCAATAATACATACTTCACATTAAAAATTGAAGAAAAATTTTATTTAAATCCACAAAAATAGCCATTTTAGTTGAATTACTCTTGTACAAGTAAGGATTGATTGATTCTGGAATAATTCTAGCTTTACTGGAGTAAACGAATAGGCATATTTTATTTTAAACAACTTTTTGAAATCAATTTCCATGAATATTCCTAATCGATAACTTTTGAAATCCCTTGGGACGTTAAGGACCACAATCCCCTATGTAAATAATAAAAACAAACGCCTTTTTTCAGGCCAATTAAGCTTCTCTGCTGATAGAACATTGACCGTGGACCACAATTTCAACTTCAGGGCTAAATATGGACGTCATTGTAATTATGCCAAGCGAAAAGAGAAGCCTTTACTCACTGTAATGCCACTCCCAAAATGTACTTTTCTTAAATCGTATGAAATGAATACTGGATATATTCCATTTCCGCAGTATTAACTTCTGATATCTGGACTAGTGCTGCGGTAATCGTTGCCTTCTATAGTACACACACACACGCGCGCATTGATTCATGAGCCTGTGCTGCTTTAATTGTCCGATGAGGGATGTTGATTTCACCTCACCAAACGAAATTCCTTACTTTTGACATGTTATTTCAACCCGTCATTCCCTCATGCCACTCTGAGGATCATCTCCTGCACATTTGGTGCCATTTTTTTGTGACCCGTAGGACAATCCCACCACCGTTCTACGGATCTCCTGACTGTCAAATTCTGTTGTGGGTCTTCATATCCTATTAGCAACTAGAGAGCTCAAGGAGATATCTCGAGGTTTAACTCGATAGTTTCTTGAAGGCTTTCCGTTAAAATGATAAGGACATACCGCGAAAAGACGGCGACCATTCAATTGAGCCCTGAAGGTGAATTCGTCTTCAGCGCCACCAACAGGAACTGCCACAGCGACAGCAGCACACGCCTCGCCGTAGGATGGAGACAATCCATTCTCGCTCAGGGCGCTCACACCGATGACACTCGGGTGGTTAACAATACCGTCAGCGCCACAATTATCACCCTCCAAACCTCCGTTTCCAGTTGGAAATAGGAATACCGATCCTTTGCCGTGGTTACCCTAAAAATAGTTCCATGAAGCGGACTTTTCACGCCAGTGCATAATTACAATTGCTAACTTTACCCGTTCGAATGAATTTTAGATAATTATTTATTTGAAGGCAATAGTAGTATTGTCTGGATTATTTTAATTGGAAAAGGTTTGAGCTTCCAATTAGGTTCCTGGTTAGTTAATTTATAGTTCAAATTGATACGGTTTATTTTTATTTGTCTTCAAAAAATTGTTGTTGATAATTTAATAAATTTATTTATTTATGCCAAATGGCAGGCGTTTTGATAGTTATCATTAGCCCTTTAGTTGACTTCGGGCTTCAAAGAGGAGAGAAGGAACAACAAAGTGACAAAAAGTCGAGAGGGGGGACAAGAATAATGATTCACAGATGTGACAGGGATAGACAGACACAAAGGCTCAGAAAGGCTAAGATGAGTAAGGGGTTGAATATGACATACAGTGAGGGGTGATGGTAGTTTAAAGTGAGAAGTCAACTGCTGTTTAATAAACTTTTTTTGCCTTATGAGTTTACGTTGCCCAGGGTGCACCAAGTGGAGGTAGGTCTTTCCCACACCCCTTTTGGCACATTACTGAGTTAGATCAAATGCTTAGACTTCAGGCTCGGTGAACCACCAGTTTAAGTGATTGCAGATGGAACATAAAATCAAAATATTCACAAAGGGAGCGAATTCAAATGACTAAAAACTAGACAGAAGTGGAAAATACTCGTGAGCCAAAATCCTCCATTACATTTTTCTTCAGTGAGCAGAAATCATCATATTATATTATTATATTCCAACATAAAAGTCGACTTTAAACTACTTTATTCAATTGTAGCGTTAATGGGCCATTAGACAGTAGCTTCTGTGATTATACAGTATTGTTACCAATAGAAAACATGACCATAGATATTGTCATTTGATTCTTAATCAGTATAAAAAATTTTCGACATCTTTCAATATTTTATGCCATATTCAGTTGAATCACGGCTTTTGCTAACTCATATTTAATGGTATTGTTCCAGCCAAATGTTAATTAACACAAATTCAAAAGAGAAGGCACTCAAATTACCAATCAGTACAGAATTGCATCAAATGATTTTGTTTTATGGTTTTAAACTTTCAACTAAAAGGATTATCGTTACCAGTCGTAATTTATGAGTCATTTCGCAGTTTTTTTCATTTGCATTTCAATTTGCGAGCATAAAACTACGTCCTTTCATCGATATCGATTACTTGTAAGCAAATTTGTTAAAGGAAATTTAACATTAACTTGAGATTTAAGAGCATTATAGGCTTAAATTAAAGTTAATTTAATGAAACAGATTTATTAAAGGGGTCAATTGCAACGATAACTAAACTTTTCCAAAACAGCAACTGGGTCTTCTAATGCGAGTTGAAAAAATGCAAATCTGACAAGCAAATAGCATTTATATCACCGAATAGCTCTTCATTTAAAGACCAAAAGCGATCAACGATTTCTTTTAGAATAACTCTAAAATATTACTACTGTAATAGTTATTAATGAATGTTATTAAAAGTTGGAATTATCACATTATTTATAACACTTAGAAAAGGCAGAAATATGTTTTAAATTTTTAATATTTGAATAGTACTTTAAATCTGTGAGGTGAAAACACTCAGAGGTTGTCAAGTATTGAAGCGTCTTGCTGCATTTTATGTTCGAGATTCTAAGTTGTACAGTGTTTACTTCAAATTAAAAAATTTTACGTGTTAGTCATGTTATTCATCGTCCACTAACCTCCCCCCTCCCCTCCCTCCCCCAACTTCAGCTTCATTGTAATTTTTCTTCAAAATTGTAGAAATAAACAATTTTGACATTTTTATTTAAATAAAATTACGAATACCACCTTCCCCTCTTATTATTTAGCTAATTTACTGTCATGCCACTCAATTATTAATATTTCGGACAAAATTTTAATTAGTAAATAAGAATATCCAAAAATAATCAATCACTCTAAATGTAATAATCATGTAAGAAGACACTTTCCCATTCCTAATGTTTGTTTTATTTCGGGTGAGGTTTGTTCCCAATTAATTAGAAGATATTGAATAAAGTTTTTAAACAAATTCAATACCATTTTTGTATTTGTCCCTTTTTGTCGAGTGAAAAATTTAATACTATTTTTTGGTTTCATTAACGTATGATTACTAAATTTAACAAGCTCCATTGGGGCTGATTGGTTAAAAGATTTGTTTAAATAGATGACGAGTTGGTAGCGGGCAGATCCTCAACTTGAATTTACTCAAAAAAACAGTCAGGAAAGATGAAAGAACGAATGAAAATGCGTGATCTTGTGGAAAACAATAGGAACTTTACCTTATTCATTATGAAAGAGTGTGTAATTTTTGTCCGCTTTTATCCTTAGAAAGAGGTTTGATTAAATTGGCATATACAATTGCATTTGAGAAAGAGAAATTAGGTCCGTTTCCCTACTGCAATAGAATGACATTCTGTAAAGAGAGAGTTTGAATCGCTGTACAATGCTATTGCAAAAGACGTTTCTGAGGGTAGTGCAAGTCCCACTGGAAGTCAATTCAAAATTAAGACCGCCACCAAACTCAATCGAAAAGCAAAGTCCAAAAAAGTTGTTTTGTCTTATGCGGTCAAAATAGGATAATAGAATGCGAAAGAATTACCTGTTAGGTGCTTCTAAAAAAGAAATCAAGCCATAAATATGTGGAGACTAGATAAAGCCTTTCAAATAGGCCATTAATTTTCAACTAATTATAAAACAGCTTAAGTTCATATATAATTTAGCATAGTATTAATTGGATTAACTTGATCATACCTAATAAGATCTAGATATTACGCATTAAAACGTTTTGCTCGTCATCCCCTAATCCACTTGAATGTGGTGCACTCTGGGCAACGTATACTCATACGGCAAAAAGTCTATCAACCGGCTGTCGACTTCCACAGTACTCATCTAGCCTTTTCTCTGCTTTTGTGTCTGTCTGACTCTTTTAAATCTGTGAAACCCTCTTCTATTACCTCTCCCCTCTCGACTTTTTAGTCACCTTGATGTTCCTCCTCCTCTCTGTGAAGCTCGAAGTCAGCTAAAGGGCTAATGATAACTATAAAAATGAGTGCCATTTGAAAAAAAGTAAAAAATAAAACAGCTTAAGAAGTTCACATATGATTGAGCATAGTGTTAATTGCATTAACTTGATCATATCTAACAAGATCTAGATATTACGCATTAAAACGTTTTGCTCGTCATCTCCTCTGGTCCACTTGAATTGTGAATGTGGGGTGTTACGCATGTTTAAAATACAAGATGACAGAGTACTATTGATCTCGAATATGCCACTCCCCACATATCTTATAGAAAACACTTTCCGCTCTAAATTGATATCCTACATGCAAGAATATGGCAAGAACTCCAAATGACTCTTCTAATTCAAATATCAAATTCATTTGAGTCAAAGAGGACAGAAAATATGCTGGAATACAAACAACCGTATTTTAGTTAATATATCCCTCCCGCAAATTGCCAATTAACAAAACTCCCTCCCTCCATAAAGCATGTATATTATGAGTGAAAGGGGTCCATCAGTGAACTACAATGTTTTTAAACACGTCAAATAATTATATTTATCTAATTTAGATATACAATCACTGTCTGTAGCTAATCATCCTAATCTTATTGTTCTAATATTAATTTAAGTTAAAATATTCCTTTTGGTGATATTGATTTTTTTGGAAATTAATGCAAATCTTCAACCGAATAATTTCATCTTGGGGTGTGCGATAGACTTACCTCCATGTGGTGCACCCT